GGTGGTTTGTGTTTTTTTTTTTTTTTAACTATCCGATATTGATTTCCACAACATGACTGTCATTAAAAAATGCAAACCAACCAAACCCAAAACCTAACACCAAATTTTGGATTTTGGCGGGTCTTTCACTATGGTGAAAAATCTTTGTTTAAGATAGCTCATGGTAGCTTCTGTGTGCCTCCCTACTTCTGGTAAATTTGGAAAATTCAAGCCTTGCCCTGCACCTGTTAAGTGCTTACATTTAGAAGCATAGAACAGTTTGGGTTGGAAGGGCCCTTAAAGATCATCTAGTTCCAACCCCCTGTCATGGGCAGGGACACCTCCCACTAGACCAGGTTGCTCAAAGTCCCATCCAGCCTGGCCTGGAACGCTTTGTGAGGAGGCAGCCACAGCTTTTCTGGGCAACCTGTTTGTGTCTCACCACCCTCATAGTGAAAAACTTCTTCCTTACATCTGATTTAAATCCATCCTCTGTTGGTTTAAAGCTGTTACTCCTCATCCCTGATAACAAGTCCCTGCCTATCTTTCCGGTAGGCATCCTTTGGGTCCTGGAAGGCCTCTATAAGGTCTCCCCAGAGCCTTCTCTTCTCCAGGCTGAAAAACCCCAACTCTTCTAGCCTGTCCTCACCTGAGAGGTGTTCCAGCCCCCTGCTCATCCTTGTGGTCCTCTGAACTCGCTCCAACAGCTCCGTGTCCTTTTTACCCCAGGGGTCGCAGAGCTGGATGCAGTGCTCCAGGTAGTCTCTTGACGCAGCCCAGGATGCGGTTGGATTTCTGGGCTGCGAGCGCACGTTACCACCTCGTGATCAGTTTTTCATTCAGGCTGTGGAAGTTGTAGGCGTTTGAGCACCTTAAACTTGGACAAATTTTTGTTTTAAGTATGTGTTTTATGAAAATTTTAAGTATGTTTTTAGTGCCATTCGTGTTCTGAAAAGAACCCACATAATTAAATGCCTAGCTGAATTGTGGGTCTATATATCTGTTTAAATGTGTGTTTTGAAAGCTTAATTTGCCTCTGCATAGTTAAAATCATTATCTTTACCCAAACTGCGTAGGAATTTTTCATGAGGGCACTTCATTTCCGAAGGCTGGGAAGCATTTGCTGAAAGAGTGATCTGATTTAACAAATAAACCTAAAATTTACAGTATTCTGAAATGGCAAAGCCTGGTAACACCCAGGATCAGCCAAATGTATTGAAGTGAAGTTATCTTGTGGGCCTGTTGCTGCTGCATAGCAAAAGAGTGGGCATGTGAAATTGTAAGTCCTTTAATATTGAGTTCTCACTATTAGTTGAGCAGCACAGCTCCCTGAGGGGTCTGCTGGCCTTTGGGAGAGAAATGGGGATTATTTCAGCTAACTTGTATTCCTCAGTGCCTGAGCATCTGATTAGTACCTTAATGCTATAAATGTGTATGTATAGTAGAGGCATATAAGGTGTGGTAGATTTCTAATGTAGCTGCATAAAAATATTTGCTTTCTAAATTAATTTGAACTAATTATGCCGATTTCTGAGGGGTTTTTATTGAGTTTACATTATTGTATCACAGATACAATTTAACTTGTGCTGTGCGGCAAAAATAGAGATTCTACATGGGAAGTAGTTAAATTAAAATGTCACTTAAAATGCTGAAGTAGCTTACTTCAGGGAGGATAATGACAAAGCAGATCTCTCCCAAATGTTTCTATGCTACTTCTGTAACTGTAGGAAACGCTCCTTGAGCCCAGTTTTCCATAGGGCACAGGTCTCTCTGATATGTCTTTGCCAGCAACTGATTTTGGGCTTGCTACCTGTGTAGAAAGGAATACTTGGGGTTTTGAGTTTGGCCCAGTTCCATCTTCTCCAGCAGGAGCCAAACTTTAAGTCTGCTGAGCAAGGTTTAATTCCAGGTTTTAATTGTTGAAGTTGGAACAAAATTTACATGTTAAATATACTGAAATGATCCTCATCTGTGCTTATTGACAAGTTCTCTCTCCCAGTGGCTTTGCTATTGCTCTGTGCTTCGGCTGCTAGTGTTAGGGTTTCACAGCCACGTCTGCAGTTCAAATGTCTTGTTTCTGAAGCTGAGGCTAGCCTGCAAGGTTGGTGACTGTACTTTCTCTCCACCTCCAGTACATTCCAGGTTTCGAGCCTGGCTTGTGAGGAGAACCTGCCAGTCGTGGCAACTTTCTTCTCTGGGGATACAGCTTTGGGATGCGGGTGCCCTCAGTGATGACACCTGGGCCCGTGCCTGGGTGCTGCACGTGGCCTCTCTGGGCAATGACCAGGGGCATGGACCGGAGTATGTGGCTATTGTACCCTTAGTTCTACCAGCCTAATTCTTAATGAAATCCGTCTGTTTTGGCTAAAATCATTGTTCTCTGTGCTGAATGTGCAGAACCAGGGGATTCATGCTCTCTGGCAAGGGCCTAAAGCAAGCGTCTGTGAGAAAACTAAGCATGGCAACTATTAAACTGCATCTGCTCTGGTCCCACCAGGGCCATCCTGTCCTTATACAATCCCTGATGCACCACAGTTCCTATTTCGACACCGCCACTCCCGCTTCGCCTCTGCCCTTTCTGTTGGGCTGGTCCAGCAGCTGAAGCCATGAGGGAGACTGACCTCAGAGCTGGTCCAGTTTAAATATCACCTCCTGCCTTCCCTGTGAATGTTTAGACCTGGGTCAACTCCAAGTTTGGTTGTATTTCTCAGCCTCCCAGACCGTGTACTGACACAGATGAGTAGGTGGAAAGAAGCAGCGATGGGATTGTCAAACTGGCACTATGGCCAGGAAAAAAATTGCTTATTGAATTATGCATTGGGCAAAGAATGCTTGGATGTGCTGAGGGAAACAAGCCTTTCTGGCTGTGCTTTAATTGAAGGGACATGGTGTAACTGAAACCACTCTTTTTTTTTTTTCCCCCTCACAGTTTCTCTCAGTCTCTCTCTCTCTCCATTTTTTTTTTATTTTTTTTTTTTCCTCCAGCCTGGCACGTTTTTGCTGTGAATTCCTAGACTCTCTTGTTTAGTATGCTGAACCACAGGCAAGTCATTGCTGTACACTGGGTTAGAGGTTCTTGCTTTTCTCCCTCTCCCTACAAATACGTTTTTGGTTAAGAAGTATTGGGAAGAGTGGAGTTCTGCTCCTGATCTTGAAGACAGGTGCGTCGTGGTGCTATCTCCTTCCTTCTTTAGCATAAAAGGCAGGATGCCTGATTTTGAGCAATACTAAAAGCAGCAGTAAAAGCGCTTGCAGGCTGGCAAGGCATGAGACTTGCAGACACAGGCCCCAGGTAGTGAGGTTCTTCATGTTCCCAATTTGTTTTAATACTGCAAGTTAATTTTTTGTTTACTTTATTTAACTATCATCTTCATTAGGTAGAAAAAAATCCGGTTGTTGGCACAACTGACTTTTGCACTGTTGTACCCAAAATGCGAATTTAGGGGAAACTTAATGGGAGGGTTGGTAGAAGATCCTAAGTTGTTGTGTGCTAGAACTATATGAAAATACCATTGTCAGTTTTGGGGATTAATTTAATGAGCACTTAGTTATCTTTTTTCTAAGAATCTCTATTCAAATGCCAGCATGCAATGAACCTTTGACACCAAGCAGTAGGTAGTGCTGCCTTTGGGTGTGCATTGCAGACCTGTCCAGAGGTGGGTATGTTTGCCAGGCCACTTAGACGTGCTCTAAGAGAAAGCCCTACTTGTCAGCAGTGTGCGTATTCAGAAAGTCTGTAATAAGATGGATTTACAGAGTGGCATAGTGACATTTGGAGGCTTTTCTTTTTTTCTGTTGCTGAACAAGTACTGACTGTTGTCATTTACCACGTTCCTGTTATCCTGAGATTCCTGCGTGGTGAGAGGCTCTAAATTGCCAGCAGTTGTTTTATCTCACTCTTGACCTTACTTGTCCCACCATTATTTTTATCAGAAGTGAGTCTTTTGCAATTTTACCATGTGGTTGCTAAAGCACAGTCAAGCCAGCATCAGTTAAATATCTTCTGTTCTTGGCTGCTTGTTCCTGCTCGCCTCTCTGCTGAGTTTGCTTAGGTCGTGTTGCACACCTGAGCGCTGGTGTGGCCTGTGTTTTGGGAAGAGGGGATTACCTATGCAGACATCTAACATGTTTAGTTCACTGCTCTGGCTTGTGGTGGAGCCTAAGAGTTGGTGGAGGAGATGGGAGGAAGCATATGCAGGAACTTCCCAGGATGGCCATAGTGGAACTGCCTGAGGAGGCAGTAAATAGAATTACTTTCTGAGGTGGGAAGGGATCTGAAAGCTTTCTTTTTCTCTTTTAGGTGAACAAGAATTTTGCAATTGATTTGATAGCAGAGCAACCTGTGAGTGAAGTTGAAAGCAGAGTGATATCGTGTGATGGTGGTGGTGGAGCTTTGGGACATCCTAAAGTATACATAAACTTGGTAATATCTTTTGGTCTGTGAATAGCATGTTTTGCCTGTTGATTATTTAATTTTCTTTTTCTGTAAGACCGTACACTTTTTGTCATTTTAGTTTAAGAAAGTAAAAGGATTAACCCAAGGTGTTAATCTTATCTGATGCCTAATATAAATTTAAGATTTGTACTTAGAAGAGCCAGAGAGTTGCCATTTGAAGTTACCACCCATTTCTTGCTCTGGGATTTGTTTATTCAGACGATGGGGTTTGTGTTGGGTGTTTTTTTTGTTAATTTAAAAAAACCCCACCAAAATAAACTATGAAGTAATATGAACAAGCAGTGCCTTATGAGCAAAAAAAAAAACCAAACCCAAAATGCTTGCTGTGTTTTGGGAAACTTACTCTAGTTATTTAAATGCTGCTGTATAGACTGAGGATACATTTGCAGTGTTCTTAGGAGTATGCAGTTTATTTTGATTCCTGCATGTTCAAAAAAATAATACCCAAACAACAACAAAAAACACTTGCAAATAAAATCAACAAAACAAATTCAGTCTTTGAGAATCTTGGCACTTCTGAAGATTGTAAAGTCTCCATCACAGTCAGAGAATCATTGAAGAATAAATCTTAAATTTGTGTTTACCTACACAGTAGCGATCGTTTCCAGTGTATTCTTATTCTAGAGAGTAAGACTATTGAGGCTACTGCCATATGACCTTGGTGGAATCAACAGTGACTTGTGGCTTAGGTATTGTTTTCAGGCAGACCAGAACTGCAGATGTCTTAAAATCTTTGTTTTCTTACTTAAACTTTGTCTTTGCTTAATACACAAAGTAATGGTGGGGGGAGTGCAGTCAGTGTTGCTGGGACTCCTAATTATAGTCACAAGCACTTCCATTTTGAACAGAGCAAGCACTCTATAATGATCCATTTTATATTATTCAAAGTCAAATGCCTGGAGATTCTAATTCATAGAATTTAGGAAGTTTGTGTTCTTCGTTCTTCAGCTAACTTGTGTTCACCATTGCTGATTGGTTTCATCTATATTGATTCGTTTGACCTGTGCTACAGTCTTTTTGAAGGATGTTTTCATTTTTGTGAGTTTTGAGATCTTTTTGTGGTAACTAAACAATAGTCATCTTTTAAATTGATCTTGAAAGCTAATGTCTGCAAAGAGAGAATGGTGTTAGACCAGCTTGTTTCCCGTAGCCCTAACAATTGAAATCCAGGCTTTTGGGGATCAAATTATACTCTGGATTTTTCATTTCTAATACTCACTTAAGGAAGGAGAACCATGAGTTTACTTCATTTCATGACTGCACATAGTCATGTTGCTAAAAGATCCCTTAGTGTTTATCTGTTTTGTCTTTTTGTCATGTTAATGAGGACTACAACAGCTCAGTCACAGTTCTGGTTTGTTGGTTTTTTTTAAATGTGTATCTTTTGGAGAGTGGAATTAAACTTTATACGGTAGTAACTGCTACTTTTCTCTAAAACACTTTCTTTCAGAATTTCTCCTGGAATCCCACTGAAATTTCTTCCTTCCTGCAACTAACTCTGTCAGTTTAAATTACTGGCCAAAATTCCTGTCTAGATATAATGTGGAAATGCCAAATCCCATTCCGTATTGAAATAATAATGAAACAATCTTTTCAGAACATTGGAACAGATATGACTGAACCGACTTAAGATGTGCAGTTTGGCAAGAGGATCCTTTTATTACTTGGCTTGACTTTAAAATTGTGTTGTTGAGATTAGACCTGGTAGTTAAAAAGCTGGCAGAAGGAAAGCTGCATAGGATACAAACATGAACCTCATACCATTGTTCTTATTTCCAGTGTTTCAAATAAGATTAAACTCTGTACTTTGGCTATATTGATTTGTTTTAAGATGGCACATATAAATAAGTGAAAATTTGTAATTTCAAAAAGTTTTATGAAGTGAAACTAGCAGATGTTGTATTTTTATATTTTTGCAGGACAAAGATACAAAGACCGGAACATGTGGCTACTGTGGACTTCAGTTTAAACAGAAACATCACTGAAAGATTCTTGCTGCATGCTTGCAGATTTCTGTTCGCATGTTAATGTTTAACTATAAATAAACACTATATTTAGAACCCAAAGATGAGTATTTGTCTTTATCTTAACTATGGCAAGTCCAGTCTGTACCTTTTTAAAACCCGGCTTGTCAGGTATTGGAGAGCTGAGTGGTACTACAATATCTACTGTGTAGTTAATTTGATTTTCATGGAACAAACATCCTGCCTTGTTTGGCAGACGTCTTGCAGGCTTGGAAGTAGCATTTGGCTGCATCACAGGTTTGGTTTGTACTGGGCAGTTTTGTATTCTTTTCAGTGCTGAATTGGACACAAATTTTACTGGGGGATTGATTACCCTAGGTCTTTTGGCATTACTTGACACTTAATTTGTTCATGGGCTAGTATTTATCGCCAAATTCACAAATGGAAGCACAAAGATGTTATGATCCTTAGCGTTACAACACATACTCCTGGAAGCAAGATTGTCATCCCTGAATGAAACAAGTAGCTATACTTGCTACTTGTTTAAAAGAACCAGCCAATGCCTTAGAGTGGTAGTCAGTGTGAGCTGAGCAAGTAGCTGAGCTGGCATGTGTGAAAGGTGAGGACATAAGCATTTGTTCTCCAGTTGAGAGGATCAAAGTGTATCTGATTCAGTTTGGGATTCACACTCTTGAAACCTCCTTAGGAACTGGTCTTTGTGAGACTCAAAGTAGAGATTGCTCCAGTACAGGTAGCAACTTCTGCTTCTTTAATACAGGTAATCCGACAATGAGAGTGTCCACCTATGTGTAACCACCTGGGCTGTGTGAGGCTGGTTGTAGGACATCATCTGCCTTCTTGCTCAATTTTGCTTATGTAGCGCTGTTATATAAGCATGACTCTTAAACAGGGCATGTGTCCTGAGGAGGGTCTGAGCTTTGGTCTTTGCTCCAGAGAGCGTTTTAATTTGTTGTCAGTGACTTTTTTTTTTTTTTTTTGGA